TATGGTCAATTTCATTGCTAATTAATGTTAAAAGGTGAATTTCTTAATCTGTGTGAAAACAACCAAAAAATCACTTATTGTGGACCGGAGGGAGTATCAAATAGTCGCAGCATTTCATCTCCCTCGAAGAAAGGGGATGCAACTCGTATTAGAAAGTGACGAGCCTCATGGCCTATGGCTATCTGATTGTTCCATAATCCATATCGGTGCCCACAAATGCCAATTTATACTTGTCATTTGTTGCTTTTCTCGGATAATGAAAACAGAAACTTTTTTTTTTGGTCAAGGTATAGACAACTTGTTCAGAGACGATAAAATGGGTACAAATGAGTTAAAGGAGGCTTTAATCTTTCTCTGCAAAGGAGAACTCTGGAGAATGGCTGTTCTTTGGACTCCCTCTCTCATCATTTCCTACTTGCATCTGTTTTCCCAAAGCCTCTTCTTGCGGAAATCCAAATTCTATGATCGTTCTTCACCATCACTGCCTACAACATCATCTAATCCTGCTATTGCTTCTATCAGAAAGCCTATCTGCATAATTACAGGTGTAAGTGACCTGTTGGTTTTTTTGATTCTTTTAGTTTATGTTGGTAGTTCTGTGTGATTCTAATCCAACCTATGTCACATTGACTATGCCAATGTCATATTGACTGTTCATTTGCCTGTGTATCCATTTTGAATGGTATATGACTTATGCTTCACATTACCATCCGCATCTTGCTCTTATTAGTGTTTACTTTACTAATCATTTTTTTTAATCAAGTAAATAAATTTCTCTAATTTACTATCATTTACAGGCCACATCTGGTTTGGGTGCTGCAGCTGCATTTGCCCTTGCTAAAGAAGGCTATTACATTGTTCTTGGTGGGCTTCTTGATGCATGCTTCCTCGATATGATTTTTAAAAAAAAATGAACTTCCGCTCTAATTTTATTTGTACTTATTTATTGAAAGTGCCACATCCTGATTTGGTTAATAGATCAAATGTGTGCCTATCATGAGTACTACACGGCTAACTTGCAAATCTAAGAATCTGCTTAGGAGAATACAAATGTTGTGTATTGATCTTGATTATGTAAGGCAAGGTGAAAATGTTACCCTCTCATTTTGCTTTCACATATTTATCATAGGACCTATAGCTATTTTACGTCTTCCGTTATATTCAGAGGGCGCTGCAGCTTCAGAATCCGCCTTCGTTTACCACATAATCAGGAAAAACCCATGTGAATTGTGAAGTATAGTGAGTGGATTTGCTTCATCTGATAGAGTGAAAAAGGCTTTTTTGTTGTTGTTGTTGT